TTCTTTCCACCAAAAAGAAAACTCTATATTCCTAACAGAGATGCATGGCATTCTGTTTTACCATTTGCATAATATCTTTGATCCACCAAAAAGAAAACTCTTTATTTTGGATAAGGGATTTAAAGACCAATACATTAAATGACATATGATGAATTGAATGTAAAACAGAAATTGACCTTTAAATCTATTCAAGTGATTGACATGTGTATATTTTCACTTTAATATTATTAAATGGCAGCATGGAATTCAGAATGATGTAACATTGGTTTCTTGCAGAGCTTCTTGGAGAGAAAAGATATGCTCCTGATTAAAATATAGGAAAAAATGTATACATTTGTTATACACTTGATTAGCTTACATATAATCACTCAAATTCACTGCCATGGAGCTGATTCTGACGGATAGTCACCCTGAAATTCAGAGTGGAAATTCTTCCGTGATTTCTGAATTATCAGTCTGTAAATCTGTATGGAAGTGGAAAGCCTCATCTCTCTCCCTTCCAGCAGGTAGTGGCTTTGGATTGTTTATCTTGCTCTTGGCAAGATCACCACTTTTTTGTCAGTTTGTTGTATTATGGTGGCTTTTGTGTTGTTGTGATGCTGAAAGCTATGTCACTAGTATTTCAAATATGAGCAGAGTCACCCAAAGTGAATAGAATTTATTAGCGCTTCCAGAGTAAGACTAGAATACAAAGAAAGATCAGCTGTCCATTGCTGAGGGTGTAGCTAATGAAAACCTTATGCTTAAAATCAAAACATTGCCAGGTACTGAAGGTCTAATGAATGAAAGCAAAATATAATCAGATATAGGGTCAGAGGATGAGCCCCTCAGGTGGGAAAGGCATGTGAAATATGATGGAGGAAGTGTTGTTTTTTTCAAAAGTACATTCTAACAAAGCTACCTGAATGAATAAAACTTGTTGGAGTAAAGCATTCAAGATCTCCATTTGCTGATGGGGAAAAACTCAAAACAAGAAGAAACAGCTACAAAAATCTAATAACAGGAACTTTCAATATACACAGTATGAATCTAAGAAAATTGAAGTAATAAAAAATGAAATTGGATGCATAAAGAACAATATCCTAGTGAGCTGACGTGGACCGGTATTGGCCATTCTGAATCTGTACCAGGAACAACACAATCAAGAGGAATGGCATTGCATTCATTGCTCAAAAGAACATTTCAAGATTGATCTTAAAATATAATGCTGCCACTGACAGCATATCTATCCAACTTCAAGGAAATCCAATCAATATAACTATTATTCAAATTTATGCACCAAACACTAAAGTTAGTGATGAATAAATTTAATAATTCTACACAAATCTTCAGTCTGGAATCAAAGAAACATGCAATCAAGATACACTGGTAATTATTGGTGACTGGAACGGAAAAGTTAGAAACAAAGAGGAAGGAATATAGTTGGAAAAATGGCCTTGGTGATCAAATGAGGGAGGAGATCACATGATAGAATTTGAAAAATCAACAACTTGTTCATAGAAAATACCTTCTTTTCTTTTTCTTTTTTTAAATACGTTTTTGCAACAACAAAAGTAACAACATGCATATGCAATTCCCTAGATGGAATACATAAAAACCAAATTGACTACATCTGTGGGAATTAAGTAACAGACAAACACAATATCAGAAGTTAAAAGCAGGCTAGGGCTTGACTATGGAACAGATCATCAATGGCTCCAATAAAAGTTCAAGTTGAAGCGGAAGAAAATTAAAACAAGCCCACCAGAGACAAAGTGTGACCTTGAGTCTATCCCACCTGAGTTTTGAGAACATCTGAAGAACAGATTCATTACATTGAATACTAATGACCTGATGATGAGCTATGGGAGGACATTAACAACACCATTCATGAAGAAAGCAAAAGATCTTAAAATAGATAGGAAAGACAAGATAAAGGTGGATATCGTCAGTAAAGTTAATCCTTACCTGTTCCTCCTTTTGGAGAACAGAGATAAAATGATGATTGGAGCTCTCATGATATGTGATTAGCGTCTCCATGTGAGCAGGACTTGAAAAAAAAAGTAGATATCAGAAGAGACTCTGAAACTGTCTCTTAATCATAGAGTAGCTAGGGCAAATGGAAGAAATTATGAAGTCAAAGAGCTGAACAGAAAATTCTAGATAGCATCTTAAAAAACAGTGAAATATAATGAAATGTGCAAAGAGCTAGAATTAGGAAATCAAAACAGAAAAACACAGTTAACATCTTAATCTGAAAGAAATCAAGAAAATATTCAGGTAAGCAAT